TACATACAACATGATTACATCCTTGCGAGTTATCTGTGTTCAATACGTACAGGGATCATAACCCTGAAAGATCGAGTGACAGGAAAAATAGTTCCGTTGTAGTTTGTTTATTTTTTAATGCTTCTTCATAGTTAATTTTAAACAATATTGAATCCTACAAAACAATACTACATATAAACGTAATGCATCTAGGATATAGAAAAACAAGCTTGGAGATAAACGTTACGTATTTCGCAGCTTTTTCCAGTGCACGTTTTTTCTTACACGTGTAGTGTCAATGTAACATCATTACCATATGTACGTGTATTTGTAAAATATTAAGTCAGTAGAGCAGTTTATATGTACTCTTATCAACATCGTTCTTTCATAGAAATAAATTTTACTGGCAATATAAAAAAAAATCCTGAATGGAATCAACATGAAGATGTTTTTCTTAAAATTATCGTCTTTCGGATTAACTTTATCGTCCGGAAATGTGTTCGGTATCCCGGAAGTGCTATTTATTATGTACTACCTTGTTTTTGTTTGTAGGGTTCCCCGTAAAAAGCCAGAGTCATTTTCAGTGTCTTTGAGCGTATGTTACCTTGTAGTAGCTGGTAATAATATCACTGAACAACTTGCTGGAAGCTCGCCGCAAGTCGGCCACAGTAATTAGAATAACGTGTCTTGCTAAAGGACACCACCACGTCAGCAGATACCGATAACACTGAGAAATACCAATCATCGCGGTTCGGGAGTATCAAACCACACACCTTGGAACTTGAGTTTATGTAGATCAACGTTTTAACTACCTGAGCTATCGGGACTTCAAGCATATACGATAGCGTATAATTTGGCTCGAATTTATGGTAGGAGATTTTGCTATGGAGGAGAAAACGGTGTCACAAAGCAGGTGTGAAACAAATACAGCGTTGTGTATTTTGATATGAGGAAGGAACGGTGCCACTAAGCAGAAATATATACAGCGTTGTGTATTTTGATATGGGGAGGAGGGAACTATATCACTTAGCAGAAACATATACAGCATTGTGTATTTTGATATGAGGAAGGAACGGTGCCACTAAGCAGAAATATATACAGCATTGTGTATTTTGATATGGGGAGGAGGGAACGGTGTCACTTAGCAGAAACATATACAGCATTGTGTATTTTGATATGGGGAGGAGGGAACGGTGTCACTTAGCAGAAACATATACAGCATTGTGTATTTTGATATGGGGAGGAGGGAACGGTATCACAAAGCAGAAATATATACAGCGTTGTGTATTTTGATATGGGGAGGAGGGAACGGTATCACAAAGCAGAAACATATACAGCGTTGTGTATTTTGATATGGGGAGGAGGGAACGATGTCACAAAGCAGAAACAAATACAGCGTTGTGTATTTTGATATGGGGAGGAGGGAACAATGTCACAAAGCAGAAACAAATACAGCGTTGTGTATTTTGATTTGGGGAGGAGGGAACGATGTCACTTAGCAGAAACATATACAGCGTTGTGTATTTTGATATGGGGAGGAGGGAACGGTGTCACTTAGCAGAAACATATACAGCGTTGTGTATTTTGATATGGGGAGGGAACGGTATCACAAAGCAGAAACAAATACAGCGTTGTGTATTTTGATATGGGGAGGAGGGAACGATGTCACAAAGCAGAAACAAATACAGCGTTGTGTATTTTGATATGGGGAGGAGGGAACGGTGTCACTTAACAGAAACATATACAGCGTTGTGTATTTTGATTTGGGGAGGAGGGAACGATGTCACAAAGCAGAAACAAATACAGCGTTGTGTATTTTGATATGGGGAGGAGGGAACGGTATCACAAAGCAGAAACATATACAGCGTTGTGTATTTTGATATGGGAGGAGGGAACGGTGTCACTTAACAGAAACATATACAGCGTTGTGTATTTTGATATGGGGAGGAGGGAACGATGTCACAAAGCAGAAACAAATACAGCGTTGTGTATTTTGATATGGGGAGGAGGGAACGGTGTCACTTAACAGAAACATATACAGCGTTGTGTATTTTGATTTGGGGAGGAGGGAACGATGTCACAAAGCAGAAACAAATACAGCGTTGTGTATTTTGATATGGGGAGGACTGAACGGTGTCACTTAGCAGAAACATATACAGCATTGTGTAATTTGATATGGGGAGGAGGGAACGATGTCACAAAGCAGAAACATATAACATATACAGCATTGTGTATTTTGATATGGGGAGGAGGGAACGATGTCACAAAGCAGAAACAAATACAGCGTTGTGTATTTTGATATGGGGAGGAGGGAACGGTGTCACTTAACAGAAACATATACAGCGTTGTGTATTTTGATTTGGGGAGGAGGGAACGATGTCACAAAGCAGAAACAAATACAGCGTTGTGTATTTTGATATGGGGAGGACTGAACGGTGTCACTTAGCAGAAACATATACAGCATTGTGTAATTTGATATGGGGAGGAGGGAACGATGTCACAAAGCAGAAACATATACAGCATTGTGTATTTTGATATGGGGAGGAGGGAACGATGTCACAAAGCAGAAACAAATACAGCGTTGTGTATTTTGATATGGGGAGGAGGGAACGGTGTCACTTAGCAGAAACAAATACAGCGTTGTGTATTTTGATTTGGGGAGGGAACGGTATCACAAAGCAGAAACAAATACAGCGTTGTGTATTTTGATATGGGGAGGAGGGAACGATGTCACAAAGCAGAAACAAATACAGCGTTGTGTATTTTGATATGGGGAGGAGGGATCGGTGTCACAAAGCAGAAACAAATACAGCGTTGTGTATTTTGATATGGGGAGGAGGGAACGATGTCACAAAGCAGAAACATATACAGCGTTGTGTATTTTGATATGGGGAGGAGGGAACGATGTCACAAAGCAGAAACATATACAGCGTTGTGTATTTTGATATGGGGAGGAGGGAACGATGTCACAAAGCAGAAACATATACAGCGTTGTGTATTTTGATATGGGGAGGAGGGAACGATGTCACAAAGCAGAAACAAATACAGCGTTGTGTATTTTGATTTGGGGAGGAGGGAACGATGTCACTTAGCAGAAACAAATACAGCGTTGTGTATTTTGATATGATATGCATCAGTGCACTCATATGCGCCGAGTTTCTACTCCGCGCCAAAGGTCAATAGCTGTGACCTTTGTACTTTGAGTACCAGTGTGTTTTGATAAAGGTCGTTTGTTTCACTGCCCTTTAACTATTAAGATCCCGTTAAAATTTCTAAAGCATTGTTAGCTTTTTCCAGCAACAAAAGCCGATGTTTAAATGTCTAAATATATTTGTTTTTCTATATCTTAATTAAGTTGTCACAAATTTATCTTGCCTTGATTTCGAAATTTGCTCAATAATTCATTTTGATATGATGGCACGATACGTAGGCTAAACAGAGGACATGGGATTATTTATCAAAACAAACAGACCTATGATCTCATGTCATCAATCTTTGTCTTTCTCATTTTTGTTCAATATTAGATGTGTCCAATATTTTCAGGTTTTTTTCACCAGTAGTACAATTCTTTTGTCCTTTTGTCCTAGTATTCAGATCGATTTTTTATTGAACATTAACAAAAAATAATTTTAGAGTTACTCAGGATTTGAAAGGGAATTTTACATGTTTTTCACTCATTTTCATTCTGTTTTCCTAGTATTCAAATATGATTTTTAATGAACATAAAGGTTTAAAGTAACTAACAATTTGGAATAAAATGTTTAATGTTTTTAAATGATTCTCCTGAGATTGAATTTCTTTTTATACAGATACGCTGGACATACTGCGTATATTAACCCTAAGAAAGGGACAGAATTCAAGGGGCCACTTAGCCACAATATTTGCGGTTTTGGCAAAACGTGACTTAACTAGTCTCCTTCAACCAGACTCTTGTTGTCTGCACACGCAACAACAATGTGATCAAGCAGCTGGAAGAATGAGACTAGACTTGTGCTGCAATTTCCCCTTCAGGTCAACCTGAATTAACATCAATAAGATTTGATATTGAAGATTAATCGATTATCTAGAGAAATAAAAACAAACTAAATTTTACTGTGTAGTTAAAGGATACACTGTGATACGCTTGGATTAATTGTAAACTATTTTTGGTATATGATTAAAAGCGAAGTCCTTCAATTTACATTTATAAGATATGTCATTAAACTACGGAACAACGTTGAAATTTTTTTTAAGTTGGCGGTCCCAGGTGGCGCTATGATTCAGTCTCAGGATCGAAAATATGACGGACATCATATCCGGCGTGTCGACTCATCGCTTTCCTTGTGTGTCATATTTCTATGATTAAGTCGCGTGAGATCCGACGAATTCTACTTAAGGCTGATGTAATCATTATACTTATTCATTTTGAAGTGGTAAATAGTCCATCGACACAAGTATACCACAAAGGACCGCAGAAGTAGGGGTATTTCTGATCAAATAGTGGTCTCTGTGACACAGGGGCGCGCAATTTTAACACAGGAACACGTTTCTTTGAAAGTGGGTATTTTGGCTCAAGGACTTGTGGCTTCGTAAAGCAGAAAGCATGAATGTTTTGCATCCAGGGTCATGGATAATTGTACTCGAGGTGAAAAACACTGTTATTTGAATAGTATGACGTGTAGAATTTAGACACCAGCGGATGTAAGGGGTTTAGATATATGACATCAAGGAGGTAGACCCAGAAACGTCGGGATTAAGATAAATGACATCAAGGAGGAAGGCACAGAAACGTCTGGATTAAGATATATGACATCAATGATATAGACACAGAAATGTCGGGATTAAGATATATGCCACAAGGAGGAAGGCACAGAAACGTCGGTGTTTAGATATATGACATCAAGGAGGTAGACACGGGGATTTAGACATGGTGACATGGGTCGGGGATTTAGACATGGAGACGCAGGCCGGGGATTTAGACATGGAGACATGGGCCGGGATTATGACATGGAGACGCAGACCGGGGATTTAGACATGGTGATATGGGTCGGGGATTAAGGCATGGAGACGCAGACTGGGGATTTAAGCATGGTGACATGGGTCGAGGATTAAGACATGGAGACGCAGACTGGGGATTTAGGCATGGTGACATGGGTCGGGGATTAAGACATGGAGACGCAGGCCGGGGATTTAGACATGGTGACATGGGTCGGGGATTAAGACTTGGAGACGCAGACTGGGGATTTAGACATGGTGACATTGGTCGGGGATTAAGACATGGAGACGCAGGCCGGGGATTTAGACATGGTGATATGGGTCGGGGACTAAGACATGGAGACGCAGGCCGGAGATTTAGACATGGTGACATGGGCCGGGAGTTCAGACACAGCCCCGGAATTCAGACACGAGAACGTGGGGGTTTAGACACCAAAAGTCCGTAATTATAACATTGTGGCGCAAGCCGGGGCTTTAGACACGGATACCCTGGAATTAAGTCAAGGTGTAGTTTATCACAGAAACCTAGTGATAGAGATGAATTTATGGATTTAGAAACAAGGACCTGATGATATGTTAGAGATGTAGTTAGTGTACTTTTACGTTTGGACCTGATGTCTCACCTTATGAACAATGCCGGTTGGTTTTCACTTACATATAGACAGAAGGATTCTAAACAATAATTAGGACAATCTATCGCTGTTGGTCACCAGTCTGTAAAGGTTTGTGTTGTATATGATAAAACACACATCACGGGTATGACAGCCTTAGAAAAAAGGTTACAGCGTTAGCGGTACAGCGAAATGTAGTGGGTATATGAAAAACTCGCATGTTCGTTGGAGAAGCATCATGCCAGATGTGAACTGTTTTAGTAAAAAGAAAATACCACAGGACTTGACAGAAACATTCACGAGACTAGAATGGGCCGAATGTGTTGGACATGACTATCAAGTAATCTTGTTATCAGAAAGACATGTTTTTAGCATGGGTTCAAAACAGGTGTGTAACTACTGACAATGTTATTTGTGTACAACATCATATGTTCATTTTTACAAATGAACTGCCTCGTTTTCAAAACTGTCAAGTGATCATGATATGTAAGCGTTGAATGTTAGAGGGGTGTCCCGAATAAACTGAGTGGTCAAGGTGGACCTTTGAAATAAATTGTGAACATTGGGATAGCAGGGAAACGTGACTGTGTACACTACACATAAAATCAATAAAAGTAATGTTTTTTTTTCTGTCATGTCGCTTTAAACTAAACAAAATCAAGGGCATCGAAGAAAAAGAAAAATTCTAACGCTATGTTATCACAATTTAATGCCCAGTCAAACAACGAACACATCAAATTCGATTGATAAAAAAATAATTTATTGAGCAGAATTAATTAGTTCTTTAGACTGAAACACAAACACCTGCTTCAACTGTATACAATGATGTTGCCATTTCTTCTCTAACAGACAGCCAGGTATACACAACACAAAAAGACACAGGTTTCACTGCATCGAAAATACACCACTATTTGTTAAACATCTCCTGTCAGAAATACCGAAACAACTGATTTAGCGCCAATCTTCGGAAGTCATTTCTATTTTCGATGAACGTTTAATTAGATGGCTTCCGTATTCAGGTTTCCAGAACGCATAACAAATGGAATAAATCCGAACTTAACTTTGGCGTCTGTTATGACGTCTTCAAGGACATTTAAATGAACTGCAATGTAGAGAGTTCCGTTGCTGTCTCTATGTGTTACAGATTGTGTCTAAACGTTGAGGATTTCAACATTTTTCTGCTGTACACAAACCATAACAAGCCTCTCGACACTTCAGGCCATAAGCATTACAGACAAGACCTAGAAGGACGAAACAGCTGTATGATGTAACTTCACTTACGGGTCCAAGAAGGACGAAACAGCTGTATGATGTAGCTTCACTTACGGGTCCAAGAAGGACGAAACAGCTGTATGATGTAGCATCACTGACGAGTCCTAGAAGTAGAGAACAGCTGTATGATGTAGCATCACTGACGAGTCCTAGAAGAACGAAACAGTTTTTATGATATAGCATCACTAACGAGTCCTAGAAGGACGAAACAGCTGTATGATGTAGCAACATTGTCGGGTCCTAGAAGTAGAGAACACCTGTATGATGTAGCATCACTGATGAGTCCTAGAAGTAGAGAACAGCTGTATGATGTAGCAACATTGTCGTATCCTAGAAGTAGAGAACATCTGTATGAAGTAGCATCACTGACGAGTCCTAGAAGGACGAAACAGCTGTATGAAGTAGCATCACTGTCGTGTCCTAGAAGTAGAGAACAGCTGTATGAAGTAGCATCACTGTCGTGTCCTAGAAGTAGAGAACAGCTGTATGAAGTAGCATCACTGTCGTGTCCTAGAAGGACAACACAGTTGTATGATGTAGCATCACTGTCGTGTCCTAGAAGTAGAGAACAGCTGTATGAAGTAGCATCACTGTCGTGTCCTAGAAGAAGAGAACAGCTGTATGAAGTAGCATCACTGTCGTGTCCTAGAAAGACAACACAGTTGTATGATGTAGCATCACTGACGAGTCCTAGAAGCAGAGAACACCTGTATGATGTAGCATCACTGTCGAGTCCTAGAAGTAGAGAACACCTGTATGATGTAGCGTAGCATCACTGTCGTGTCCTAGAAGTAGAGAACAGCTGTATGAAGTAGCATCACTGTCGTGTCCTAAAAGTAGAGAACAGCTGTATGAAGTAGCATCACTGACGAGTCCTAGAAGGACAACACAGCTGTATGAAGTAGCATCACTGTCGTGTCCTAGAAGTAGAGAACAGCTGTATGAAGTAGCATCACTGTCGTGTCCTAGAAGCAGAGAACACCTGTATGATGTAGCATCAATGAGGTGTCCTAGAAGTAAAGAACAGTTGTATGATGTAGCATCACTGACGAGTTCTAGAAGTAGAGAACAGCTGTATGATGTAGCATCAATGAGGTGTCCTAGAAGTAGAGAACAGCCGTATGAAGTAGCATCACTGACGTGTCCTAGAAGGACAACACAGCTGTATGAAGTAGCATCACTGTCGTGTCCTAGAAGTAGAGAACAGCTGTATGAAGTAGCATCACTGTCGTGTCCTAGAAGTAGAGAACAGCTGTATGAAGTAGCATCACTGTCGTGTCCTAAAAGTAGAGAACAGCTGTATGATGTAGCATCACTGACGAGTCCTAGAAGGACAACACAGCTGTATGAAGTAGCATCACTGTCGTGTCCTAGAAAGACAACACAGTTGTATGATGTAGCATCACGGTCGTGTCCTATAAGTAGAGAACAGCTGTATGAAGTAGCATCACTGTCGTGTCCTAGAAGTAAAGAACAGCTGTATGATGTAGCATCACTGACGAGTCCTAGAAGTAGAGAACAGCTGTATGAAGTAGCATCACTGTCGTGTCCTAGAAGTAAAGAACAGCTGTATGATGTAGCATCAATGAGGTGTCCTAGAAGTAGAGAACAGCTGTAAGTAGAGAACAGCTGTATGAAGTAGCATCACTGACGAGTCCTAGAAGGACAACACAGCTGTATGAAGTAGCATCACTGACGAGTCCTAGAAGGACAACACAGCTGTATGATGTAGCATCACTGACGAGTCCTAGAAGGACAACACAGCTGTATGATGTAGCATCACTGAAGAGTCCTACAAGGACGAAACAACTGTATGATGCTGCGTAATTCATTTCTTAAGCTCTATTCAATTTTGAATTTGTATTTAAAGATGCTTTTCACGTGTGTGTTTTGTACAATTCTAAAAGTTTCACCGTTATCATTATTCCTGTTCCCTGTCTACGGATCTAATGTGATACTTTATGGTAAAAATATTTCAAATGGTTGACACATACGTAATAGTTACTTACAGCGGAATTTTTTGAGGAAGAAGGGCAAAAAAGACATAAGTGATATGGCCTTAAATCAAACACCAGCACATCAAAATGATAAATGAAAATTGTTTGAAGGAAGCTTAATGTTTGTGATATAAGATCCCCAGTCATTGTTATGAAAAACAATTCGTTCTTGTCACAGAAGATTGTTCAAAACTATCTGGAGTGGATCGGAAGTGATCGTGAGTACGGTCCGACTTCCGGCACGTCTCCGAGTGCAATGCGTACTTATACCTTCAAGCAGGGTCTGTCACCGTGAAGAATGTATTCTGGACAAATGCCACGTGCGGTGATGGTCGATGACTTGATCACGTGACGAATACGCGTGTATGAAGAAGCCTATTTCAGATCAAGATGGGATTATATGTATGTAAAAATTGACAAACAAACAATCGAAAACGGACATTCTCAACAAAAATGTCGGTATATGGATATGAATAATGATTTACAAAATCGACAAGCAAATGAATGTCATTCGGAACCAGTCCCCGTGAATTTCCATTATGATCCGAATGTCTCTATGTTATGATTGCTCTCGGACTAAGCAGACAGTGGAACGAAAACATCCTCATTATTCTTAATGTTCACGTGCGAGTTTAGATTACTATGATTAAGTTAAGTAAAACTTATCTAAGGTAAAGAAGCAAACTAGAAAAGTCTGATTTCTAGTCACGCCCTCTCCTTGTCCCCCTTCCTACCCCCATCCCTCCCCTTCTCATACCTATCCGCCCCTCCCCTTGTCCTCACCCCTACTCTCCCCTTCCCTTGTCCTATCCATCCGTCACTTTATCAGCATCCCTATTCGCCAAATTCCCTTTTTCTCATCCCTTTCCATTCCCTTCCCTTGTCCCAATCCATATTCGCCCCTTCCCTTGTTCTCATCCCTACCACCCTTCTCCCCTTCACCTCATCCCTACCACCCTTCTTCCCTTGTCCCAATCCTTACCATCCTTGTCCTTATCCCTACCACCCTTCTCCCCTTATCCAAGACCCTACCACCCTTGTCCCAATCCCTACCACCCTTCTCCCCTTGTCCCAATTCTTACCACCATTCTCCCCTTGTCCCAATTCGTACCACCCTTATCCCCTTCTCCTCATCCCTACCACCCTTCTACCCTTGTCCCAATCCCTACCACCCTTGTCCTGATCCCTACCACCCTTCTCCCCTTATCCAAATACCTACCGCCCTTCTCCCCTTGTCCCAATCCCTACCACCCTTCTCCCCTTGTCCTTATCCCTACCATCCTTCTCCCCTTCTCCTCATCCCTACCCCTATCCCTCCCCTTGTCCTCATCCCTACCCCAATCCCTCCCCTTATCCCTACCCCTATCCCTCCCCTTGTCCTCATCCCTACCCCTATCCCTCCCCTTCTCCTCATCCCTACCCCTATCCCCCCCTTGTCCTCATCCCTACCCCTATCCCTCCCCTTGTCCTCATCCCTACCCCTATCCCTCCCCTTGTCCCATCCCTACCCCTAGACCTCCCCTTGTCCCATCCCTGCCCCTATCCCTCCCCTTGTCCTCATC